AATATGAGACAAAGATATAGGGATGTGTCATGTAGCTTTGTGCATCTTTGCTGTGTAATGACCCCTTGTTTCTTCCTTTTTGGTGCTTCAAGCCATCCCTATATCCCCCTTTCATTTTGAAGAAATGATTTTTCCACTTGTGTAGTTATAATTCGCCTGGACACTGCCGCTTACCGAATAGCTCAATAGTAAAGTATAATCTCTTTAGCGAGCTACACGCGACTCTAATGAGTACAACAAATCACAAGCTTATAAGCATGAACATTACGTACGTAAGATGACGTATGACCTATGACAACATAACCGGACATGCATGCAGATAGACAACATTACGCAATACACCACAATAATAATATCTGACTATTGCTATTCTTTCGTTTCGACAGACTTTGTAGGATTCCGAGAACCAAAGCTGGTTGATCTGATCAATATAGTTGGTGTTAGAGTAAAGGTGAAGTGGAGAAGCATAGGACTTGGGCTTGGTTTCAAGGGTTGGGAACTTGATGGGATTTACGCCACAAAGTGTAGAGAACTGGACCCTCCTCAAGAGTGTATGACAGAGGTTTTTAGCCAGTGGAAGTCTGGGAAGAAAAGTGAATACTCGTGGAAGAAACTGGCAGAAGTTCTTGTGCTGCCAACAGTTAATGAACTTTCACTTTTGGGTCATATGTACAAAGAACTTAATACGAAGTGATATTCAGACTATAATGCATTAACTGTGGTATTGTTTTGAAGTACTTTGTCTAGAATATAATTGTCAAGCATGGATACTGGACAGGCGGCTGACAACCCAAACCTATCAACTGCGACATCCACAGCATTTTGCATAATGCTCTCAGTAAGTCCCTCCCCCTTTTGAACTGTTAACCAATTTAAACCTTTTAACTCCACTGATACAATCACAGAAGCATGTTAATATCCAATTAGTGATTGCTGGTAGAAGTTTTTACAACTATGTAAAACAAAGTGCATCACAATGCGGGAAGAGAGACATACACCAGAAATGAATCACCCAAGGATAACACACACTATACACAAGATACACAAGAGACATCATAAGACTGAGCAGGAGGAGCAGGCGTGGCCCTTCCCCTTCTCCATCGTCTGAGTACTGAGTCTGAAGGACATCTCTGTGTCTGCCACTGAGCTGAGACCCTCGTTCTTCCTCCACAGAGCCCGGGCCATCCGCATGAAGGTGCCCTCAATGTTTGTGTTGTCTTTGGCCGAGGTCTCGATGGCGTCCAGCATGTTTTTCGTGGCAGCATATCTCTTGGCGTGATTGAAGGGGACCTCTCGCAAACGAGGTTGGCTGGTGACAGTGTCTTTCTTGGTTCCAATCAGTAACATCACAGCATCTGGACCTGCACAACAATCTTTGTCTTAAAGTGTACTGTTTCTGTTGTGGATGCGAATCTAGCCACCAAAATCAGTCCATTTTCAAGTTGGTTTTGGTTTCTTGCATACAGTTACTTTGCATTTCAAGTGAAACGTTATCCATATCCAAAATCAGAAGGCTCAGAAATCCCTTACTGCCTTATGCATCGGAGCAAACAGAAGAGAGACTGCTAAAATGTTGTCTTCTCCTCTGTCTCACTCAGGCGAGTGTGTTGGCAAGTCAGGAGAGGCTGCAGTATATGGCTGCATTCGGTGACAAGAAAGAGTACATTGCCATCATTGAGGCTCAGCTCAGGAACGCCAGGTTGGACAACTACACCTAGCTACTACAACTAAAGATTAATGTAGCACATGCATGAAACTCTGTCTTTGCATTTCATTGCATGGTTCTAGTCCTACACTTGAGTAAGTAAGCCGTATATTACGTCTTAGTTTTCTTTTTTCTCTGTTTAAATGGCACGAGTTGTATAATTATGGTACTGCATTGGTAGAAAAATGGGTATAAAACGTAAAAATAGATTGATCCGGGCCAAACTGGATTGCTCTCAGAAATCCTTCAAATCAGAATACACTAAGAGTATTCTGGTGCCAAGTACCTACGAGAACTGCTACTATAATCCCCACTCTGTAGGAAGGAGAACAGTTCCCTGACGAAGGAGAAGGAGATGAAGGGGCTCCAGCTGGTGTGGGAGACACAGAAACTGCGGGAGACGGAGGGAAAACTCCACCGCAAGGAGCAGGAGATGGCACGCGGCCAGAAAGAGGTCTCGGTCTTCAAAATGAGGCTCCACGAAATGCAGGAGAATCTGGATAAAGGTGAGAGAAGAGAATCCTGCCACAGAGTCTCTGTGAATGTGTTGTTACAGTCTCTATAGACAAGACTGTAAAGGGCACAGGCTTTCCATTTCATCTAGCCTCTTAACCTTATTCCCATTTACTTTACATGCCGATTTTATGTGGACTGGAGACTGTCAGTGCGCATAGCGTTAGCTGTACTGCTGTATAATACCAACAGCAGTATATCTTTGTGTACTACGTATATACTCCTTCCCCTGTGTATCGTGTGTGTATATAGCTGAGTCAAGTTGCAAGCAGCAGGAGGCCCAAGTCCAGTTGTTGGAGAGGGAGCTGGAACAACAGCAATCGTTACGGGGACCCTCTCGCAGAAGAAGCACCATCCCCCACCAAGACTCCTCTGCCACCTCTTCTCATTCTTCCAGGGACCCTAGCACAGGTCTGAGTAGCAGTAGAGACCAACAGTCCCAGTCTCTAGCTGGAGAACTGGCAGACTGTGACGAGAGTGTCCGAGAGGGGAAGGTGGTAGTAGAGGGAGGAGGTGGAGGTGGGAAAGAGAAGGAGAACAGAGTGACAAAGTCCCCCAAGAGAGAGGGAAGGAGGAGGAGTGTCAAGTTGGGAGCTATCAGTTTCCTGGAGGAGGTTGAGAGAGAGTTTGAGAAAAAGGCCAGCCAACAGGCTCCCGTGAAAAACACACAGACTGCTCTCTATGGAAACAGACTCAAGGTATATAAACCATTCAGTACCATGTGCCATTCATTGACTGTTTATATTCTGTGCAGGGTGGTTGCTGTGGTGCACCCGTGTATCCAAGGGGCACTGGACAAGGCTCGAAAGCCAACCAATGTCCACAGCAATAATGCTATGTAAACCAATGAATATCGTTTTATGTTGTACGTTGGTAATTACTCGCGCGCGCCGCAGGTCCATTCTCCACTTTTCTTTCGCTGCTTGCTCTGCTTTTCATCTGCTTAGCAATGGAAGTGACAGACGTAGACGGAGTTCCTACACATGTCTTTAGTCTGGAGGCGTCTCGAGGCAACGAATCTCACCTCTACATCGTCCCAGGGAGCCCGGGGATGGCTCACTTCTACGTCCCCTTTGCCACGCGGCTCTTCCAGCTGGGCGGGGGGAGCGTACGACGTTAGCGTAGTCTCGCATACCGGACACTCCAGGGGTGTACAAGACCCCACTACCACCGTCACAGGACGAGCAAGGAGCTACTAGAGACTGGTTCTCCCTGGAGGACCAAATCTCACACAGGCTTGCTTTCCTCCGAGACAGAGCCGAGCAGAAGAAAACCCTGTACCTCGTGGGCCACTCCATTGGTTGCTACATGATTCTAAAGATGCTGAAGCACATCGCCCCTTTTCGAGTCAAGAAGATTTTCTTTCTCTTCCCCACAATCGAGAATATGGCATCCACTCCAAATGGAGTGTCCCAGCATCCACTGTTCACCACATATCGATCTCCTTTCACTGGCACTGTCTGGCTCTTGGGAAGCATCCCAGAGTTTGTCAAAGTTCGGATTCTGAGGCAGTGGTTTTCTAGCTCTCCCCCTGAGCATGTGGACTGCATGTGCAGGGCAATAATGAACATTGATAGCAGGAGCATATACAGTATCCTCTCCATGGCTGATCAGGAAATGAAGGAGGTAGTGGACTTGCCCGTGGACACTATTAGAGAGGTTATAGACAAGCTAGTCTTCTACTATGGAGTGAGGGACAAGTGGAACAGTGAGAAAATGTATGAGGAGATGGTGGAGAGGTTCCCTGGGAAAGATATCGGTCTCTGCAAGTCTGGCTACTCATATTCGTTTGTCATCGACTCCTCCCATCCAATGGCTGAATAATTATGTTTATAACAAACTGCCAAAAGTTGAATGAGTGCATATGCAATGGTATGTAAATGTATTTATTTCACTGGCACTAGTATCCAAGACAAGAGGCGACATTTATAAGTGCAGAGGTACCCCCATCTCATCTCTGGTCGCTGGTTTGAACGAGCTACTTGACACCTGGTACCTTAGTCTCACGCTCTAGTAGTGCGCATGCGCGCGCTGAACCCAAGTTTTAACAAGCCCCTCCCACAAACTTGCGGTAAACAAAGGAATCGCGCGCTGTTCCTGCTTGCTACTGGACAACGGTCTTGGTACGTTGATATATGAAACACACACTGCCCGACTCCTTATGCTTTCTTAGAATCACTAAAAGAATCGTTGGGTCGATTGTGTTATTATCAAGCCGATTTCTTACTACAATTTAGGTATAATAGCTAGCTACTGATAATGGCCTCCGCCGAAATATCGCCAACCGATGTAGTAGCTGCTCTTGATGAACTGACGATAGACAAGACAAAAGAGCTGTTTTTTCATCTGAAGGTGAAACTGAAAACTCTGAATGACATTGACACAGCCCACACCGGAAACATGCGCAAGATCCACTATGTCCAGGCCTGGTTTGACCAGGAGGTGGGAGCCAGTTGGGAGAAGATTGTGGCTGGCCTCAAGCAGATAGGAATGAAGGCATTGGCTGAGAGTCTGGCCACTCGAAAATGTTTGGGCAGTTTGACCCCCGACCCCCGCTCCTCTCCAGTAACGACAGCCCCAGCCCCTGAGACAAGTGGTCCTCAAACCAGTGGATCCACTGAGCCCTCTCTCGGTCCCGTGGCACGTCTCTCCTCCCCCTCTGACAGGATCTCCCAGGTGTGGGCTGAAATTGACCGACTCACTGACACCTTCTCTCACCTCGTGTCCGACACGAGAGATGAAATGTGCATCAGAGCAAGTGTAGAACCCCAGTTTTTCAACAAGTTCCGCGATCGTCTTTTGGATCTTCCTGTTTCCCAGAAATCCCCACATGCTAAGTTCTTCGATGAAAAGCTAGATGATTTTCTGATGGCCAAGAACATGGACAAAATATTTGCCATCCTCAGACGCTACAGTAACTATCGTAACTATGCAGTTCTGCGTGAGGTGGTCAGGAGGTTCTGCGAGGCTGTGCTCCAGCGAAGGATGCAGGAATACTGCAAATCTCTCGAGAAGTTTGAGAAAGCGACATTTATCGATGTGTACCTCCAGGCCATTTCCGCCGGTATCGTTCTCACCTCAGAATTCACCAAGATGACGGTGAAAATCAACAAGCCAGCATCCGCATGCACGGTCCACGAAGTTCGCAAGTTGAAGGAGACAATCGCAGAAAGAGCATCTCTTCAGCCGTACAGCATGTACATTGAAGAAGAGTCGATTGATCTGAAGCTGGGGTTCCCTGCCAGTTGTGTGGGGTGGATACTGGGAGTCTTGACTCCTGAGTTCCTTGCCACACATCGTCTGTCAGACGTGGTCGTTCGTCAACAAAACCAGTCAACATCTCTCCATCAAAATCACCTCTCAATTTTGGAGAGAACCCAAGCGGAATTGGTTTGTGAAGTAATAATGGTTATTAAGACCCTGTTTATTTCATGGAGCTTGTCATGCGTGTATATAGGTCCCAATTGCATAATCTATTTCCATGTTTTGTTTACTTGCTTTGCCTTGCCCGTTTCTTGCACAATCAAGCTCCAAGTCTGTTCCACCTAACAGTGTAACGGTACTGGTTGCGACTTTGTTTGCTTAAGGCTGGACATCTTGAAAAATTTTGCCCGTGCTGTGGTGCATTGTGGTGTTGGTACATTCCGGTGCACAATTAGCATTGCAGTTTTGACCCAAGTTTTCTTAGGATGCTTTGGCACAGGTTGACTTGGTAACCCTCCCAGGTTATGACATGCTTGATTTAAATGTGTCTTTCTGTATATAGACTAAGGAGCTGTGTACAGCCAGTAGAAGAGGAGACATGATGAGAGTTGTGTCTCTTCTCAACAGTGGAGCTCATATGGAGACTGAGGATGAGGTTACACTCATTTCTGATTCTAGGCATACTGTAATCAGAAAGAAAAAGCTAAAAGCGACATGGCCCCAAGCAACGTTTCTCTCATTCATGGTGTTGGTCATTACTCACTACCATTATACTAGGCAGCACATTTCCGATGGAGAACCTGACCCTATCAAATTGAGCAAAGTCATATACAATTTCGGTTTCTCTATCGTCGTTTCAGAGTTATGGCTTACTGTTAGCACCACTGCACAAACACTTTTCCATTACAACTGGTTTTCTTCATGTGAGATACAGGCGTATGTGACTTGTCTATTTACTGTGTGTCTGTCCTACTATTGGTTTTTGTCAGTGGTCATTGACTCCTCTGGGCTCTGCCAGTTTCTATGGTCATCTCCAAGTGGTTCGTCTACTGACATCAAGAAGAGCTAATCCCAACTATGTCAATAAGGTGAGATAGCTCTGATGAGTTTCAATCTTTCATGCAGGATTATTGATTATACACTGTTTTATGCCACAAACTGAGCGAATCTGTGTTGTGCAATTAAAAGTAGCAAACCGTTTGATAACTTATTCTTTAGACTCATAGAATTGTCTGAAAAGTGCTTTGCCTGCAATAGCACTCCCTTTGTAAATGCTAAGAATGTAACAACATCTCATGAATTTCATTTAGGGGTCACGTTGCGTATAACCAACGTGGTGAATTTTGTAAGTTGGTAACTGTCTAGACAAGACAAATACTTTGTGCCTATGAAAATAGTTGTTGCAGATGGGAACATCTGGTGCATATGCTGATATAGTGAGAAAGTATAGCAGCGGGGCTGCCCACAAAATAGATGATACAATCGCTGAATTAGAGTTTTCTTTTTCTCGTCCTCTTTTGCACATATGTATTTACATGTGACACTGAAATTTTCTGCTGTTTGTTTCTCAATAGACTTAGGGGTCTCCTTTTCGAACTTTAGTGAGCAATATACATCTGTCACACAGGCTGGACTTACAGCTCTCATGAACGCTGTGAATGGGGGAAAGAGCGATGTCGTCACAGAGTTAATATCTCTAAAAGCTGATGTGGATTTTCAAAGCAAGAAGAATGGAAATTCTGCACTGATAGAAGCTGTCTTACGTAGTCTCACTGATGTTGTTGTGGAGCTCATTAGAGCAGGAGCCAATATAAACCTACAGAACAATGTATGAAAATTGGCCAGTACTGTATACATGCAGACTCAATGATGTAGTCTCTGAACTAACCATTACGTAATCTAAACTATTAGCATTGTGGATTTCGCGCAAGCACACCAAGGGTTTGCACTTTATTATCGACGTACTTTCAATTTTTGTTCATCTCTCCACAGAATGGAGACACAGCAGCCATCTTAGCTGTAGAAAGATATTATCCAGACATTGTGAGGGAGCTAGTGAGGGCAGGGAGTGACCTCAACCTCCAGAACCAGGTGAGATACACAGTTCCTGTGGGCACTGCACCACCCAGTCCTCCATATTAGGAGGGACTCACTCCACTAATGATAGCTGCCAGGAGAGGGAGGACTGACATTACTACCATTCTACTGGAGGGAGAACACATCAACCTGGACATTCAGGAGAATGTGAGGGTAGCTACTATGTATGCACAATTGCCGGTATGGCATAATAACTGAGCCACATACACCAAGATGTGTAGTAATTTCCAAGTGAGCAATGTGGGCAGCTGGATACACATAAGAAATCCCTGACGTTTAGACAAAAGACTTGATGCTATGAGTATTGTTCTCTCTCATCCACAGAGCACTGGCTGGTCAGCTCTCCATTTCTCTGTTGAGAGAGGAGACTCAGCTACCACAGAAGCACTGCTCAAGGCAGGAGCTAATCCTCACCTCAAAGACAAGGTTTATTCCAGGAACTGTCATCAGTTTGTGTTGTAGGATACTCCCTCTCTCT